GCACACATGTATACGCACACGGCAGGATTCCCGCCTGAACACTGATTCTGTTCTAGCGTTTGTATTTTCCAATAATCCTCCTCCGGATTACAATCACTCCTCGGGTCGTTAGCGGAGTCGAACACACTCGTAACGACCACACTTGCGACGACTTCCGGCAACGGTCTGGGTTACGGTGACGACGCAGACAAACGCTCGCACACTCACGGGTTTAAAGGGCTGAGGAACGCACCTTCCTTCGCGGGGATTTAAAAATGGCGGACTGACGATCTCTCCGCACAGGTTGCGTCGACTGAACTAATGAGGGGGGGGAGGGAGAGGGGGGTTCAGGCGGGAGGGGGGGAGGGGTGAGTGTGTGAGAGAGAGACACACACACAGAGAGCATGGCAAAGAGAGAGAAAGAGAGAGGGAGAGAGAGAGAGAGAGGTTGAAAAGCCAGATATTTTCACTTCTTTCTAAAGTTTTCGTACGTTTCTTTATTTTATGGAATTGTCTGGCCTTTGAGAAAATCACTTGACTCTTGACTGTCTTTCGGTTTAAGAATTATACATTTTTATCACCAGAATGTTATAAGTTGTTTTGACTCTCCCTCTTTTCCCTCTCCCTGATTTATCTCCCTACTCTCCCTCCTCCCTCGTTATCCGGCAGCGACAGGGAGTTCCCTCTACGAAAAACGATAGCAAATCCGACGCGAACGCAAACTTACGTGGCGTCTGGGTGTCCAAGGAACAGAGCCCGGGTAGGAAACAGTCAATCTGCTGATGGTTAGGTCATTGTGAACCACTTCCTCAACTTGCCCCATTCATAGGGTTCTGCAGCCGTATGTGTTTCCGGATAAAGATGCGATTCCTGTCGGGTGTGCGGAGGCGAGTTGGCGAACGGCGGCGCTTTGACGGATAATGCGTTAAGGCCACGGACAGACCGCTCTTACGTTTTCCATATAAGTCAAAGACACGCTAGGCCACGGGGGGTGGGTTTTCTATGCCGATCGCGGGGTCATTATTCGGAAATTCGCCGACAAAACGCGCAGGTTATTCCCGGTGTTTGAGTTCGAGCATTAGGTTCATCTCCTCCTAAGGATTTAATCCCTTAAAGCTCATGTAACGTTGTAAAATGAGGTGAAATGAACCATATGGTGAGTGGGTGTAGGGCGCAACCTTGACGCATCACAGGTGAGTCATAGACGATCAAGTTGTCGGACAGTTTCGGAAATTTGCCATTAATCCTCAGTCATTTCTTCCTCAAAAACAGTCTCACGTGACCTTCCCGCCGGCGTATTGTCATCTCCCTTCTGCCACGGGGCATCGAAAGCCATTCATCGTTTCCGACGTCTCCAAATCGGCCTTTTTCTCCCCAACGGAGGTATTGCAAGCGCTGGCAACTCGGGGCGACGTGCTTCCTTTCAGTGAGTCATCCAAAACTACGACCTCGTATACATTCAGCGGCGCACCTGACGTTTTCTGTGGGGATCGACGAGAGAAACTTCCAGAAAACTTAGAGGGTTGTTACAGGGCAGGCTTATGTAAATCCAACGTTCTATTCAAAGAAAGTAAACAAATCAAATCAGCAAATTAGCAAATTTTGATTCGATTTAAAAAAGTTCCTTTCAGATTTTAAATAGAAAGACCGGAATGGACTTTCCTGTCGTCTATCTCTTTTTTTTTTTTTCATAACATTCCAAATATAGCCATACACTGTACAGAATACCAACGAGAAACAAAATCAAATATATTGTGCGCCCACTACCCCCCCCCCCCCCCGAATATCTCTTAACAAATGAAAGCGAAAAAAGAAACCAGTTATACAGTGCTTAGACACGTCATTGAGAGAAGAATGAACCTCCCTATATAAAACAGAATTTATTTAATATAAACAGGAACTCGAAAGGAAATGCCATAGAGTTTAACAACAAAACACCCGTTATTGTCATATATGTGATTCTTGTGAAATTTCGTGTTTCGTGGAAATGTGTCTGTCATTCGTACGAAATTATTAAAGGCAGAGTTTATTTACTTATCATGAACAGCAGTTTTTTTTTTTTTTTTTTTTTTTTTTTTTTTCTTTTTACATAACTTCCGGCTGCATGTGAAAAAAAATGTGCTGTTGCTGCATTGTCATGTTAAAGACTTGTTATATAACTGTTTTTTTTTTCTTCTTCTTTTCTTTTATTTTCTTTTTTTTTTACATTGCGACAGTATTATACCCACTTCCGAAAAAAAGTGACACATACCGGAAACAATAAACACTATTATTTCATTTAGTCTGGGAATTAGAATACGTTGATTGAAGTGAGTTTTCTGTGTCATATTTACAGGTAAGTTGGTGTTCCTTCTGCTTACCGTGCCAACAGGAAACTAGAGAGCGCTGTTGCTTATTGTTATTATTATTATTTTTTTTATATAATGATAATAATCGTTATTATTTTTTTGGTATTTATATATTTAGTATTAAATATAATAGCATAACTTGCACGTAACTACATTTTGCCTGATTTTCTTTTCTGATGCAATATTTTAGTTTTTATTGTCTTGTCTTTATCATTATTATATGTTCATTTAACTGGTCATCATCTTCATGATCATTATAATTTTTGTAGATACTCTTACTATTCTTTTTATATTATTGCTGTTGTTATCTTTATTATTAGTGTTTATCACTATTATGTCATTTAATATCCTATGAATCTAATTATTTCCTTTATTGTTATTAATGTTATAATTCTCTTTCTATTCGTATCATCGACATCATTATTATCATTACCATTATTGTTATTATCTTTATAAATTCTATCATTATTTACTGTCTATAAATTTTATGAGTGTCATATTGACTATTATCCTTTTTGTATTTTTTCTTTTTCTTTTTTTTTTTTTTTTTGCTAATGAGCTTTAACTTATCAATTTTCATTTAAATTTGTATTGTTTATTATGAAGCCCTGTCTGTCTCTTCTCTACTGCACATTATGACTTGCTAATAATCATCATTACAATGAGTAGCTTTTTTTTTCTTCTTTTCTTTTCCAAAATATAAGATTGAAATAAAATTCCCATGTGATTTGAAAGTCATTTATTTGATTTTGTGCAACCATTTTTTCCTGTTATATCACATACTTTTTTTTTTTAAAGAGTGGGTATATGTGCAAGTTTAGTATGAATTGTACATATTCACTGTAATTAATATAATAGAACAATAGGGTCAATAGAACTATATAAAAATCTTTTCTTTTTTCAGTTTCGTAGTATCAGTCAACAGATTTTTTTTTTTTTTAATACAGTAATGTCCTTATATTTTTTTTTCTTTTGGATTTTTCACATTTCCCGTTTTCTTTCTTTACTCTTATATCTTTAATCTTATAATTCACTCTTTGCATTATGCACGTAAATCTACGTCTTATATAGCTCAATTCTAGATTATGTAACCGTTCATTTTTTCTGTGATATCATTTATAAATGTTTATATTGTATACGTCCACCACCAAGCATAGAGACACCCCATACATATTGTTAATTAATTTATTGACCTATATCCATTATTCTCAATGGTTTGGACTCCCGCCTTATTCTGTGATACCAGGTCATTATTCGCCATCTACACCTGACCTCAGTAACAGTATGTCTTGCACGGCCTTAAACATAGTGAAATCCACACAGATTTTAGAAATTCATTCTCTGACTTATTAATCTGTATACGTTAGTTTCTTATATTAGTTTCTGTGATGTAGTTATATAGTGATATAGTTACTTTCTGTGATATTAAGTACCTATATCTGACCTCTGCAATACACGGTATATGAAGTCCACACTTTACTCTCATTTATAAACCTGTATACCTTACGCAAACACAGTAAAGTGTTCACTATGATGAAAGGGAAAACAACCACAGTAATAAAATAAAATAAATCGATTTATTTTCATTTTTTTTTACTGTGACTGTTTCCTCTTCACCCATATACGTTCGTTTCTTGTCTTATTCTGTGATCTTAGTTACCTCCACCTGACCTCTGCAACGCACGGTATATGTCCAGCACGGCCTCGAACCAAGCATGGAGATACCCCACGCCGAAGGCCCTCCTCGACACGCGACCTTGGCGACGAATCAGCTGACTGTGGACGTCAAGAAACCTCTCGGGGGGGACAGAAGGCATGGGGGGGCGTCTTTCGTCTGGTGCGTCGCCGTTCCTGAAGATATCACTCGATTCTCCGGTGATATAACTGTCATCGTCGATCCATTTGGTGTATTTCTCTTCCCTCTCTTCTTCGCGTCTAATTTTCTCTTCCAGTTTTCCCTTGGGTGTTTCTTCTTCATTGCCTCCTTCCTCTATTCTTCCTTCATCTTCATCGCCTTCTTCTTCTTCGTCTTCCTCTATGTAGTATTCGTATTCGTTCACCCACTTGATGTATATCTCGTCATTCGCTTCGTCCCCGTCGTCCCAATCGTGAGAAAAGTCATTCCCTTGATTTTCCCGAAGAACCTCCTCCGGGTGCTTGCTCTCGTGCGAAGGCGGGGTCTCCGTCATGCCTTTATCATCGCGCAAGTTTCTCAGAAGGGAAATGCCTCCTGAGAGATAACCATTCTTCTCGCCTACCGTTATTCCGTAATCAAGCCTCCTCTCTTCTCTTCTCTCTCTTCCTCTTTTCCGATTCCCTTTTCTTCCTTCGTCGATATTCCTAACCACCGGTAAAACGAGAGATTCCGCGATTCCCGTTTTCTGTTCGTCGCCCAGGATATAACTGGCAACTGCGTCGTCGAAGCTGTTGCCATCGAGCGATCTGCCGTTATTGTTGTTATTGTTGTTATTATTGCCTCCTCCACCTCCGCCGTCTCCACCTCCTCCACCTCCTCCACCGTTATTGTTATTGTTGTTGTTGTTGTTGTTATTCGTGTTGGTGTTATTATTGACGTTGGTGTTGTTGGTCGTGACAGTTGCCGTAGATCCAGTGACGTTGATCGAGATGTCAATTGTTGCCATGATGTTGCCTGTGATGTCAAGCATGAGGATGGCAAAGGCGAAGAAGGAGTAGAGACTAGTGGAGGATGTCTTGCATATGACCTGAGGGAGAGAGCGTCGATTACGTCTTTTTAATGCTTAGGGGGGATGGTGCCAGTTAGTATTGTTACTGAAGGATAAACGGCATGCCTGGTTTGGATTTCTGAATGCTAAGGAAAGTGAATGCCTCCTTATTCTATAGACAA